AACATGTTTGTCCGATTTTAAGAAAATCAAGGACTACTTTGAATGATCACATTTTTGACTTGAAAAACCATAACCGTTTAAGTCCTGGTTTTAATGTGAGACATTCGAATACTTGAATGAACATAAAATTTCTTCTGTTTGAACTTAGCCAGTTGCTCATAAGAGATCAGACATCGTTGTTATTTTTGAATCACATGGAAAACTAACATTTTCAAATTTTAATTCGGTCAGGATAGAGGATCCGCATCAAAACCAGCTAGGACTGATTTGTCTTCCTCATTAACAATTATAATTTATTATTATTATTTTTGTTTATTTATTTACATGCTTTAGCTTTTGTATCCGTGAAACATGTGTCCGTGATGGACACCGGATAATACGGGCACTTTTGCAGTTGTCCTTTTGAATTGTTGTCCGTATTAACCGGGTTCCACTGCAATACAATAATGGCTTCGTCGCTACTAGAAATGCAGCGGCTTTCAGTCGTTTCTAGTAATGCAGCTGTACATTACGCTTAACTTAGACTTCTTTCGAAGAAAATTCCATCTCAAAGTGTACTGACAGGACGGTCATATTACTCAACTTACTAGAACTCAGAAAATGGTCCCGTACAGTTAAAATGACGTACTGAAGCACCTGATTTGTGTTTGTCTTTTACAACAGCGAACAAATGGGTGGTAAAGTAACACATTGTCACAGTGGTCAGAATTAGACCGACAACCATGTGCTTCCTCCATTTCTTCTTCCAAACCCGTACCACAGCGATATTTAAATATGACATTTGCAGCCAAAACGAGAACGAATTGAAAATGAAATCAATACTAAGAGCGATGGAAACGCGAATGAAGAAATCTGCAACCGGATGCATGTCGGAAAAGGACAGACCGTGATTGTTGTACATGAAGCTATACAACTGAATAAAGCCAACCGCTGCAACCAAAGCCGTCGATTCTCCGAGAATCATCTGGATGCTCATGTCGGCGATAAAGCGCATGCTTCTTGGAGTGCGAAATTTATCAGCGCTCAACATTGGCTCTGCGTCCGCGTCGCGTTTAAACTTCTTGTAAATAATGTACCACAAATAATCACGCACAACAATAGTTAACCTCTCTAACAAGTCCACAGCGCCGTGTACGAGGCTGAGTATTATAAACAGTTCAATACTTGTGAGCTCAGCTTGCATGACACGGAAAACGATGGCGGACGCGCTATACAAAACGCTTAAAAGCACGTGCGAGTCGCCCGGGTGAAGAAAATCGATTCTCTGCGCCGTCAAACGTACTATGACCTTTGGTACAGCCGTTAAGAGGGGCAGTGCACCAGCTATTACTGCTCTGTAAGTTTCGTTCTGACGACCATACAATGGAATGATGCCATAAACAAGACCAAGGGCGATTGGAATTCCAAAGGCTAATTGGGCTGCGAGTATCGCGGAAACCTTGATCGTCTTCTTGAGTCTCCTGGGTCTTTCATTTTCGCTGCTGTTAGCAATTTCTCTTCCGACAAGTATAGAATTCATTAGGACTATGATTAGAAATAAAGCATTCAAAGGAAAAGACATCCAGGGCCTCTCATATATTCCGTAAACTTGAAGGTAAAGTCTGTAACATGTGTCAAAAAATGCACCCAGTAGATTGAGGATCAACAAATTGAGTTTCTTTACTAAGCGTCAGCCAAACATTGTGATTATAAGAAGAAATGTCCACATTTGCACCACATATGCTTCTACGGTTTCGGCGCTGACAATGATGGCCTGAATCTTACGAGGGAGCGAGTTCCAATGTCCATGTAACTGTTTATCGTAGCAAAGATCGACGGAATTGAAATCCAAAACCAAAATGAATATAGCAAGCGTACCGAGAGTCAAACCTCCAAGAATCTGAATACAGAAGACGTCTTTCACGGCCTTCCAAAGCGACATCCACCATTTTGACGGTCGAGATCTTTTCCAGCCCATTTTGCTGTCGTCTCCCCGGGGTGCATCGTACTCCTGAAAAATCGTATCACTGTTGTCGAACCTTTTAAAATCTTCCAGGGGATCCTGGCGCCGTATCAACGGAGCATCTTCAAGCAATCCCTGTCCCTCGTAAGATTGAATCACTCCAGCGGTAAATGTTTCCGTGACATAAGCAAATAGGCCCTCGAGAGTAAACGATGCCATGAAAGAATTTATTTTTCCGGCTATGAAGAGTGAACTGCCCACCTCAAATCACGGAGAAATTAATAAGCGATCAAAGCGGAAATGTTAGAGTTGACGATTTTCGCTTTCATTTTCGTTTTCGAGATTCTGTAATCCTATAATATGTGATATCCGGTTTCCTTTTTCGTGTCACGTGAGAGCGTGACTTGCGAGCGGCGATGCCCGCGCCTATTAGCGGCTCACCTCACACTCACAGTCACGCCCTCACGCTTACTTGCTTGCATTCTTCCCCATGCTTTTTCGAGGAAAAGAGAGACTGCTCGCAGTCTGCCATTTTGAATGAGATGGTGTAAATATAGCCCCCCTTCGCAGACGGCCTCTAGGCTTATCACGCAAGCTATCCTCATTCCTCCTTCGGTGTTTGTCTAATCAATTTGAACGTAAATGACTTATATCGTGATAAAATTCCTGAATGTCCGTCGCGAGGAGTAACGCGATCGCGAGTTACACAAGTTTTCGTAGAAAAATTGATTACTTGATATTTTATACGTTTCGCGAATTTGAATACAGTACATGCTCAGTCACTCTCGAGNTGTCCATGTAACTGTTTATCGTAGCAAAGATCGACGGAATTGAAATCCAAAACCAAAATGAATATAGCAAGCGTACCGAGAGTCAAACCTCCAAGAATTTGAATACAGAAGACATCTTTCACGGCCTTCCAAAGCGACATCCACCATTTTGACGGTCGAGATCTTTTCCAGCCAATTTTGCTATGGTCCCCCGGGGGTGCATCGTACTCCTGAAAAATCGTATCACTGTTGTCGAACCTTTTAAAATCTTCCAAGGGATCCTGGCGCTGTATCAACGGAGCATCTTCAAGCAATCCCTGTCCCTCGTAAGATTGAATCACTCCAGCGGTGAATGTTTCCGTGACATAAACAAATAGGCCCCCTAGAGTAAACGACGCCATGAAAGAATTTTTTTTCTGGCTATGAAGAGTGAACTGCCCACCTCAAATCACGGGGAAATTAATAAGCGATGAAAGCGGAAATGTTAGAGTTAACGATTTTCGCTTTCATTTTCGCTTTCGAGATTCTGTAATCCTATAATATGTAATATCCGGTTTCCTTTTTCGTGACTCACAGTCACGCTCTCACGCTTACTTGTTTGCATTCTTCCCCATGCATTTTCCATTTTCGAGGAAAAGAGAGACTGCTCGGAGTCTGTCATTTTGAATGAGATGCTATAAATATAGTCCCCCTTCGCAGACGGCCTCTGGGCTTATCATGCAAGCTATCCTCATTCCTCCTTCGGCGTTTGTCTAATCAATTTGAACGTAAATGACTTATATCGTGACAAAGTTCCTGAATGTCCGTCGCGAGGAGTAACGCGATCACGAGTTACACAAGTTTTCGTAGAAAAATTGATTACTTGATCATTTTATACGTTTCGCGAATTTGAATAAAGTACATGCTCAGTCACTCTCGAGCTCACTGAGACAAGTGCTGGATAACCGTGAGTTACAGTCAAGAGAAAATCTTGCTACAATACTGTGTAGGCTTTCTATTTAACCTCTTGATTGGGTTAACAACTCTTCCGACGACCTTCCTGTTGTTGTCAGGTCTTGTCAGTTCTCGGAATTGTTTTCGCGGCTACGTAAGTGAGATCAAAGTAAAGAAATAAGTGACGCAAAGTCTTAAGAGATAATTAACAAACTTTGATTGACATGTTTTGCGGAAAAATCCTAGACGACATATTTTTTTTTTCATTCTTGTTTACTTCTGAAAAATTACAGATGAAGCGTGTAATTTATTCTAATTTATCCCATTAATTTTTTTCCCGAGAATTGACTCGAGTGGAATGCTCACCCATGATCTTCCTGTTTACTTCGTGCTTTTGCCAGTCTCCCTAAAGTTCGCTGCTATACATTTTAGAGATCTTTAGAGGGCGCAAGAAACGTAGTCGCACCAAAAAAACGAAACGGTTTGGCTGAATTCTTTGTGAAAGATGGCGACGACTCCCTTTTCGCTCGAAGGCCTGCTTCTTTACATGACAGAAACGTTCACTGCCGGAGTAATCCAGTCTTATCAGGGACAGGGAGTGCTTGAGAACGCTCCGTTGATACAACGCCAGGATCCTTTGGATGATTTCAAAAAGTTCGATCAGAATGACACGATATTTCAAGAATACGACCCACCTCTGGGAGACGACAGCAAAATGGGTTGGAAAAAATCTCGACCGCCAAAATGGTGGATGTCGCTTTGGAAGGCCGTGAAACACGCATTTTTGATACAGATTTGTGGCGGTGTGTCGCTTGGTTC